TGCGAGAGTGTGTTCTTGTCTAATGATCTGAATATCGGCAAAAATCGATGGATCCATCTACATTCTATTCTGAGAGTGGGTTGCATGGGCCCGTCCCACCTGCGTGCGAGAGTAGGTTGTGTCGCCCGTCTAAGTTGCGTGCCAGAGGTTGTTGCGTGCGCTCATCCATGTGGTGTGTTGTTTTAGTTCAATCATTTTTTTAATCTTTGAAGGCATTTTTCTTAAGTTGAAAATTGAAATATTTTCAAACACTATTCGGATTCTTGATTACCCACTAAGTCTTCTTAACTGCTATCATTTAATAATCTCTTTCATCTTATAAGGCATCCCAAAGACGTCCCTGTGCAGAAGCATATTGGATTGGATTTCTTTGCTTTTCTCTCGTAGAGTTCTATATTGGGGTAATGTTCTATTATCCATTGTCGCATAATTCCATGGTCTTTTGCTTATAGTATGTTCTTTTTTTACTTTTATCCTTTTAATTTGATTATGCATTGTGTTATCTAATTATAAAAATAATTTTGTGGATTTGTTTTACCAGCCGACGTTGGGGCACTTTCTCATTTAGTGACCTTAGATAATCATCCGTACTAAGTTTATTCATCTTAAATTATTTTGCTTTTTTTTTTCTTATGAAAAAATTCTTAATTTGCTTATCTATACTTTGGTTTTTTCCAGCTTATCGATGGCTAGTAATGTATTCAAATTGATTGCTTGATAGATTGGGGCACTTCCTCATTTTGATATATATATTTTTTTCTTTTTAGTTCCGGTTACCTGTTTATAAAATGGTATGTTATGGATTGTAAATCTTTTTTAGATTTCCTACCATTGTTTTTTTCTCCATAATTTCTTCTTATAGTCCTCTGTTGTTTGAAAAGTTCAGAAACGGTATTTTTTCCTATTATATTCTCGTGTTTTATTGTTTTGCCTTTTCTATTTGGTAGTTTGTATATAATTTTTATGTTTTATTATTTTATTATTTTATTTTCTTTAGTCACATTATATGCTTTTAAAATGTTATGCTATGGATTATAAATCGTTTTTAGATTGGGTCATATTGTATTCTAGACTAATTTTTTCTTATTCTCTATTGTTATGTTCTCTTTTATCCTTTTAATTTCATTATGCATTGTGTTATCTAATTATAAACATAGTTTAGTGGATTTGTGTTACCGGCCGATATTGGGGTATTTTATCATTTAGGGACCTTAGATCTTGATCCGTACTGTGTAGTTAGTTTGTTCATCTTAAATTCTTATTTTGCTTTTTTTTACGTAAAAAATTCTTATTTTGCTTATCTATACTTTGCTTTGTTCAAGCTTATCAATTGCCAATCATGTTTTCAAATTGATTGCTTGATAGATTGGGGCACTTCCTCATTTTGATATCTTTTTTTTTTTCCTTCAGAGTCTTGTTTATATGTTTTCAAAATAGTATGTTATAGATTGTAAATTTTTTTAAGAGTTCCTACTCTTGTTTTTCTTCCATAATTCTTCTTATAGTCCTCTTGTCTGAAGAGTTCAGAAATGTTTTTTTTTCCTATAATGTCGTGTTTTATTGTTTTGATTTTAAAAAATGGTTGGATGCTATGGGTGGTCATATGGTTTTCTAGCCTTTTTTTTTTTGTTTTCCCCCCTAAAGTTGTTCTTATTCCCTCTTATGTGAAGTTTCTAGGAATTGTTATTTTTTTCTGCAGTTATAATGCCTCCATCAGCCCTTGATCGCCTCGGTTTGTTGGGATCTCTTTAAAAATCCTTTTTCTTCTCCTGTTTTTTCCATCGTTGTTCGTTTCATCGTAGGTTACTGATTTTAAACATAACCCCCTGCAGCATCTTTACAAATTGATTATCCAATGTTGTTTGAACTTCGAAATGATGCTGTTGAGCGAGTCTCTCATTGCGGGGTTTTGGAGTTTGTTGCAGAGGAAGGCATGATTTACATGCCTTATTGGGTAGGTCCATATTTCTCTTGCATGATATGTATCCCCGGTGTTATTAGCTCTTAATACTTTAAGAATGTTTGCTTTTTTGTATGATTTGTCAGTGTCAAATTTTGTTTGTTTCTTGGTATGTCACTCCGTGGGAAAGAAAATCAAGTGGGATGCGGTGATGCCATAATATTTTTCACCTACTTTCATTTTTTTTTTTGGTCGAGAAAAGATACAGGGGAGACCTTTGACCTGAGTGGGCTCCTATACCCTTCTTTGAGTAGTTTGTTTATCTTAGTGTTGCCCTCTCGAATCAGGTTCGCAGTTTGCTGGGCGCTTTTCTTGCTTTTTATTAAGCCGCCCTATTTCTTTCGTTATTTTTGCTGTTTTAATGTTTGGGGTAGATATATGATTTGGCCGTTGTGTAAAATTTTGTTGGTTTGTGTATTCACCAACTATTTGTCATTTTATTTTATTTTTGCACCTTTTTGAATGTTTCTAAAATGGATGTTAGGGATCACAAATTGTTTTACGATTGGCTTTATCTTTATTATTGTTTTTTACCCACTGATTTTCGAAATTCTTGTTTTTCCAAGATATTTTTTACTCTTCGATTGGGTAGTTATCGTTTTCCTTTTTTCTATGGTATGTTATGGGTTGTGAATGGTTATTTTCCTATTACGTTCAATTTAATTATTCTTTCTATGTAATTTGGGTGATTTGTATTGAATTATATGACTAGTTTCCATTTTATTTTCTTCTATCTTGTTTATATTCTTTTAAAATGGTTGGATCCTCTGGGTAATTCTATTCTAGCCTATTTTTTGGTTTTTTCCCCCTAAATTTGTTCTTATTTTCTCTTATGTGAAGTTTTGAGGAATTGTTATTTTTTTCTTCTACTTTAGAATGTTTGCCTTTTTGTATGATTTGTCAGTGTCAAATTTTGATTTTTTTCTTGGTACCGCTGGAAAGAAAATCAAAGTGGGATTGCGGTGATGTCAAAATGTTCTTCACCTACTTTCATTTTTTCTTGTCGAGAAAAGATATAGGAGAGACCCTTGACTTGAGTGGACTCCCATACTCTTTGACCTGAGTGGACTCCCATACTCTTCTTTGATTAGTTTGTTTATCTTGGTGTTGCCCTCTTGAGTCAGGTTCGCAATTTGCTGGCGCTTTTCTTGCTTTTTATGAAGCCACCCTATTTATTTCGTTATTTGTGCTGTTAGGCTGATTTGGTCGCTGTGTGAATTTTTGTTTGTTTTCTATATTCAACAACTATTTTTCATTCTATTTTTTTGCACCTTTTTGAATGTTTCTAAAATGGATGTTAGGGATCGCAAATTGTTGTACGATTGGATTTATCTTTATTGTTGTTTTTTACCCACTGATTTTCGAAATTCTTGTTTTTCCAAGCCATTTATCCTAGTGTTTTATCAGCATATCATCAGCTATTTCTTTGGAGTTCAAATAGAATTTTCTGTTCTCATTGATTTGTTAGACTTCGATTTGGTACTTATTGTTTTCCTCTTTTTCTATGGTATGTTATGGGCTGTGAATGGTTATTTTCCTATTACGGTCAATTTAATTATTCTTTGTATGTAATTTGGGTGATTTGTATTGAATTTTATGACTAGTTTCCATTTTATTTTCTTCTATCTTGTTTATATTCTTTTAAAATGGTTGGATGCTATGGGAGGTCGTATTCTGTTCTAGCCTCTTTTTTTTGGTTTTTTCCCCCTAAATTTGTTCTTATTTTCTCTTATGTGAAGTTTTGAGGAATTGTTATTTTTTTCTTCTACTTTAGAATGTTTGCTTTTTTGTATGATTTGTCAGTGTCAAATTTTGATTTTTTTTCTTGGTATGCCGCTCTACGGGAGAGAAAATCAAAGACAATCAAAGTGGGAGTGGGATGCGGTGATGTCATAATATTTTTCACCTTCTTTCTTTCTTTCTTTTTTTTTTTCGGGAAAAGATATAAGGGAGACTCTTGACCTGAGTGGGCTCCCATAATCTTTGATTAGTTTGTTTATCTTGGTTTGCCCTCTCGAGTCTGGTTCGCAATTTGCTGGTGCTTTTCTTGCTTTTTGTGAAGCCGTCCTATTTCTTTCGTTATTTTTGCTGTTAGGCTCTTTGGTTTAATGTTTGGGGTAGATACATGATCTGGCCGTAGTGAAAATTTTGTTGTTTGTGTATTCACCAACTATTTTTCATTTTATTTATTTTTGCATCTTCTTGAATGTGTTTCTGAAATGGATGTTAGGGATAGCAATTTGTTTTACGATGGGCCTTATCTTTATTATTGAAACCCACTGATTTTTGAAATTTTTGTTTTTCCAAGTAATTTCTATTTTAGTTGCTTGATAATTTTTTTCCTTCTTTACTCCCGTTTTTATGCTTTTAGGATCATGATATTATTTTTCGCTTGATCTGTACTATACGTTATATTTTTTTTCCTCATCAGACCTAACAGCTAACTTTACTGGAATTCTGCGTTGAGCATCAATAATTAATTACTTACAGAGAGATTTGGAGCTCTCTGTTGAACCCTTCTTTTCTGAATAATTTTATGTTTGAGAAAATAATATCTTTCTAGTTTTTAGTGTGATTATGATGGGCGTATGTGTATGTATCCATATGTGGGTTTTATGAATAAGCTTTTGATGTTTGCATATGCTGCAATAAATGGAAGTTGCGATGTTAAAGTTGGGGATGGGTTTCATGCTTTGTTGGCATGTGTTCGTGGGTCCACTTTTATTAATTAAATTTGGATGTTTTTTTTTTGGTACGTGTTGGGGAGGGGATTCGACTCACAGCCTCTTGGTTGGAGGTATATGTCAATTATCGTTGAGTTATGTTCGCTTTGACCTTAAATTTGAATGTTGAATTGACGTTTCTAAGGAGTTTTGTAATATTTTTTAAACCAACTCAATCTTTTGGTTATAGATTTTTATAACTTTGAAAATCCTTGTTAAACTATGAGACCAACCCATTAAATTGGGTTGGGGTCGGTTTGGTTTCATCAGGTTTTAATTAAAACTTATTATCTCATAAGTGCTAGCTATGAGGTAACTTTTGAATATGATGTTTAGAAAGCTGTTATTAGAAAACTTCTAATAACTAACAAAATATATAATTTAGGTTTGGGATAGAAATATGAAAAAGCCTGAAGTATGATTATATATTATTGCAGGTTGGATTGGTTTGTTCAACATGGTGGATTCAAGAATTGAACCAATTCAATCGAGTTAGATATAATTGAGTACGATTGAACTCTGAATTAGTTTTCAACCCAGTCTAAAATATAACGGCTCGAATTTTCACTCCTAGATTGTATCTATTTGAAAGAAAAATTTTAAAAAGTTGATAACTATTTGAGAAAAATATTTTCTTATATTCAATTGAAGAACATTTTGAAGAAAATATTTGATAAAATCAACTGGCAAATATGTAGGTTTTTAACAGTAATTATAAAAATAAAAGAATAATTTAATATTACTCTTTAATTTCAGCGATGACTGTATCTTATTTTATTTTTTATTTTATAATAATTTTTTTGTTTTAATACTATTTTGATCTTTTATGTTTATTTTGATTCATTTTAGTATAAATACCAATGTCAATAGAAACGTTGAGGTTTTGATTTTATGAAAATATAATGAAAATATCAATAAATTGTTAATATCAGTAGATTTAAAAAAAATCAAACAAATAATTACTTCATTTTAAAATAACTTTAAAGTATCTAGTGTTAGTAATTTTAGTACTATGTCTATCAATGATATTTTGTGGATGTTTTAGAAATATTAATTTGTCTCCTATGTCCATGTTGAATCTTTCTTTTTTTTTTTGTTGAGAAATGTTGAATCTATTGATTGACATAAAAATGAAAAATTGAATCCTGTTTATAAAATGGTACTATTTGATCTTGCAAAATTTAGACAACTATTTACAAAATAAAATTCTTTTAATAGTTATGAATGCATTTGAGTGCAATATCCTACAAAATTTGTGATAAAGAAATGAGATAAAAAAAATTAAACAAAGCTTCAAAATCTCACTTTTAATGGGATGAAAACTGAAAGCAAATAGTGTTTAAACAAAACATTTTCAATTATTAGAAAAAAAAATAAAGTGCCTCAAAAAAAGAAAAAAGAAGATAAAAGGTAAGGATACGGTTGGAGTGGTGGGGAAAGACAAGAGTGGGGGCTGTGTGGGCAATTTAAAACATCACACCTGTCTTCTACCGCAGATTGCGCCCTAGATTTGCCATTTTGGACTGAAGTTTCTCCATTCACGTTTCTACCCACAGTAAAAGAAAAGGAAGAAATCAATCATCCATTGATTGATCATAGAGTTGCAATCATGTAACCACCACTTGAAAACTCTCAGTAACATGCAATATAATTTGACCCACTTCACTTCACCAATGATTACCAAACATAATTCATGGTTAGCTAAACATAATAACATGGTGTGTAATTGGTTACATCCATATCAAACTTCTCATGAAAGAGCAAAATTTTCCAACAGTAATTCATGTTATAATCTTGTCTTATTTTCAGATTCAAAACTTTTCTCAACCCCACTTGAATGATGACTAAGGATGAAACCTTCATAGGAAGGGAAATTTTGATAGCACTTGAAAAAAGCTGTGTTTTACTAATAGGAGAAATGTGGGGTAGCCCTTCTTAAAAGAAACTCCAAGCGTTTGTAAATTGTACATCAAAATTAAATGCTATGTCCTCCAAGCAAGATCTGGCTTTTATGGGATTTAAGCTTGCTTCCATTCTTGTACTACCTTTTCTACCAAATCTTTTGTCGGTCGATGGATTAGGGAGTTGATTAGAATCTGATTCAGCTGTGTTTTGGCCTAAATTTTCCTCAGTTAATGCATAATCACAGGTTGAAAAGTATCAGTCAAAATTTCAATGAAAACCAGACAACAGAGCTTCCACTAAGATCTTCTATTGCTTTAGCGCGTGCAATTTCACATCTTTGGCTTCCTTTTTTTGTTCTTCCCTTTTTATCTTTTTGTGGGGCTCATCAAAAAAAGCAATCTTGCCAAGAAGTTAGAAGGATAGAGAGATGAGGGAAAATACCATCTTCACTCCACCGGCGACTGTAGTTTTGGAGTTGTCTTTATATTGGTTTTGTAGCGGTTGATAAGAAGACAAATTCTCAGCTTCTCCTAAAGCCAACTACTTGAGCATCTCTACCCATTTATTCCTCGTAAAGTTGCCAAAGCTCTTCAGAAGAGTTATGAAGCGTTGGGGTTTCGCTCTGTTATTGGTCATTTTCATCCATGGCGCTGCAGGAGATGGTTTTGTCAGAACTGGAGGAGTTCGTTTTCTGTTAAATGGTAGCCCTTACTATGCAAATGGCTTCAATGCCTACTGGTTGATGTACGTTGCCTCCGATCCGTCTCAGAGGTCGAAAATCTCCGCCGTGTTCCGTGAAGCCTCGAGCCACGGCCTCACGGTTGCAAGAACTTGGGCTTTCAGTGATGGCGGATACAGACCTCTTCAGTACTCTCCCGGCTCCTACAATGAACAAATATTTCAGGTATCTTTCAGGATTTGGACGATCCATTTTCAGTCTGTTCTCTGTTTTTTGCTTTATTCATTTTTTCCTTTCACAGGGGTTGGATTTTGTTGTAGCTGAGGCCAGAAGGTTCGGAATCAAGCTGATATTGAGCTTAGTTAACAACTATGAAAACTTTGGAGGGAAAAAACAGTATGTAAATTGGGCAAGAAGCAAGGGGCAATACCTGAACTCTGATGATGATTTCTTCAGAAACTCTGTTGTGAAGGGATTCTACAAAAATCATATCAGGGTAAGTAAAATTTCCAACTTTTTTTCTCTCTTTTCTTTCGGTTCTTCGCAGAAGAATGAAACAAACGAGACCTCGAAGCCATTGCTAAGTCTCACTTGGTGTTTCTTCAGACCATTCTAAACAGATATAACAGCTTCACCAGAATCCATTACAAGGACGATCCAACAATAATGGCCTGGGAGCTTATGAATGAGCCCAGATGCACATCAGACCCATCCGGAAGGACAATTCAGGTGAGTTCTAACTTCTAACTTTCCCCTTCATTTATTGCAACAGAAAAAGGTCCACTGAAGTTCAAATTTACTGTGTCATTATCCAGAATAGATAATCTGCTCTATTTACAGAATAAGTTTGAAATCTTTAAGCTTACCCTGTTCGTTTATGTATAGGCTTGGATCATGGAAATGGCTTCCTTTGTGAAGTCCATTGATAGGAACCACTTGCTGGAAGCTGGTTTAGAAGGATTCTATGGACATTCCTCACCTCAGAGAATGAGACTCAACAACCCAGGTTTTAACATTGGGACAGACTTCATTGCAAACAACAGGATTCCTGGCATTGATTTTGCTACTCTTCATTCCTATCCTGATCAGTGGTAAGTTTCCGAGTAGAGACTTTTGAATGTTGTACGAGAAGCGTTAGAACATTGAAAAGCATCCAAGGATCTAGCAAAAATCAAGCAAAATTTCAGACCCTAATTCAAAATTCACAGGTTATCAAGCTCAAATGATCAATACCAGCTTTCGTTCTTGAACAATTGGATTTCCACCCACATCCAGGATGCAGAATTGATTCTTCACAAGCCAATTCTGCTGACGGAATTTGGGAAGTCATGGAAGGTTCCGGGTTTCAGCACGTACGAGAGGGACCTTATATTCAACACCGTATACTACAAGATATACTCATCGGCGAGACGGGGAGGCGCCGCCGCCGGAGGCCTCTTCTGGCAGCTGCTGACCGAAGGCATGGATTCCTTCCGCGACGGATACGAAATAATCCTGAGCCAAAACCCTTCAACGGCGAACGTGATTGCCCAACAATCCCGCAGACTCTATCAAATCAGAAGGATTTTCGCCAGAATGAGAAACATCGAGAGGTGGAAGAGGGCAAGAGCAGCAAGAGGCAAACGCATCGGAAATTGAAAAAAATAGAGGATCTGAGCAAGGGTTTCTCTCTTCGAGATAAATCGTCTTTTCGTCCAAGAGGAAAGCTGAAATTTTTGGTTTGGATTTCGGAAGTTTTATAGCTATAATTCACGAATGAGAAAGAAACTTAAACGTAAAATGAGTTTGCTCCATTTCAAGACTGCCAATTTCACACACTTTCTTTGCTGCTTTGTGACTTTGTGTTTCAAATTATGAGTGCTTTAATGAAAGAATATTTTAAATGTTGTTTGATTTTTATATTCTTGGTATCCATAGAAATATCATTTCAATGATTAATGATTAATGTTTACTTATAAACTCATATTTAAAGATTTCAACGGAAATAAAGTGAGATATGAAAGTAAATTAATAAATCTCGCGGTTCAATTGATTAATACATTACACTTGTCTTTATCTATTTATTTTTTAGTTCAAAAATAAGTTATGGTTAAAAATATATGTGTTCAAATAAAGTTAAGTCTATTTCTTGTACTTCAAAAAATAATAATAATAATAATAAATATAAAAGTGCTTGTAATCTCGCTCCATCAACTTTTGATGCGTATTATGCGTCGGCTCCAGTACTTGGTGTGCTGGAAACCGGAAAAGTCCACATAATTTGCATGGCCCTTCTTTAACATCATGCTTTTATTCCGGAGAAATTTAATTTTACAGTTTCGGCAAGCAAACATTTACGATGCCAAAGGAAAGTGGAGGGAAACGGCAAATATAAGAATGTTAATGAAATCAAAGGGGGTGGTGAAGGAGCCAGGATGGTCTTCAATAAAGGTTAAGGATAGCATTTTTTGCGTTGTTGCTAGATATCAGTCTCATCCACAAGGAGAAGACATATATAGTAAGTATGTCGGAGTTGTTGGCTTCGGGAATGAAAATTTATATTCTTGAACTGAAGCATTTAGTAACTGATATGGAAGAATAGTAGAAGATTGATTTGTACAGATTCTCTTTTTGGTCTTACTGGTGCATGAGAATTATAAGCATGTTGGTTTAGCCTTATATTTAGTCTTGATGATGAATTATACCTCTTGAAAAATAATCTAAGTGATTAGTGTAACCTACCAAGCTTTTAAGTTTTATATGCTTGATTCCCATTGTCTCTAACTTGTATTGTTCTCCCACACCCTGTTTTCGAAGTTTAGACTGCCCCCGAAAACGAAGTAAAATAGAACCGGGCAAGTGCAGCAGCTGGTGGAGAATATGGATTTCAAACTAGTAATTTTGAAGGATCTTTGGAGAGAAACTAGATTTTGAAGGATCTTCTATAGGCCATGAAATGAGTCAATCAGATTTCCATTCTAATGAAAAAAAATATATATATAAGGTAAAATATACTTTTGATCTCTGAGTTTGAAGATAGATTTCTATTTGGTCTCAAACTAAACTTAAAAATCAAATAAGAACTCGTCCTCAGACTCAGGGACCAAAAACGTATTTTACCAAAAAATTTATATCCCAACTAGCTTTTTATGGACACAATTCTCACCCATCAAAGGGAGACACAGCGGATCAAATTAAATTCTTGGGCACGGGTTCGTCGTCAGGAAAAGACACTGAAAGATCCCATTAAAAATTAATACTTCTCAGTTACACATACAACATAAAACTGTACATGTCACTATAATTATTTTTCATCCTTGAACCAATTGTTTATGACATAGGTAACGAAACCTACACTGAATCCAGAAGCCCCCAATACAACAACTACTTGTATCCACAAATTTACTGCAAAAGCTTCCATAACCACAGCCTTCCAGAACAAATACCATGAAAGGGAGAAGGAACCACCCAGCACTGCACCAACCAAAACTTGGCTGATAGTATGTAGTTTCTGCGAAACTCGTAGCCACGACTGTCAAATGCAAGAACAAAGGAAGAATAAGCACTTAATCCTCGTTCCATCAGATTTCGTTTTTCATAATCAGGCTATAAGACTGATTCATAATCTTTTTATTGGTTAGAAGTTGAGAAATGTAAGAGTAAACGGACACAACCATACGATCTAAATTTGTAATTTAACATTTCCCATTCAATGACATAACTTGGATTTGTCTGTTTGTTTTATTATTATTATCGTTATTGTTATTTTTTATGTTGCTTCGAACCAAACATTTAACCCATTTGAAGGTGCCAAATTGCCACAGTCCTGATAAGGACTACAGCTACAAAACACAAGTACAAGCATTATCTTCTGCCAGGTTCAACTTAAAGAAGAAGAGACGAGGAATAAACTTACAAAATATGAACCAAATATCAAGGAAAGTCCACAGATAAACAATGATATTGCATTAGCACCTAGCCATTCCACCGCTGCAACAACATCAGAAGTAGTATTAAAAATAAACCTTGATCAATTGAAGTTTTCATAACTGAGATTTTGGATTACAAGCTTTGGAGGCTCATAGCATAAAATTGGGAGAACAAGAAGAAAGATAATATGCTTGGTGTATGGACGAGGGACTGGAATGTCAGGAAATAATGAATTTCGGCAGAATGAAACCTCTTCCATTTCAGATATTAGTAAGAAAGAAATGACCTTACTAGAACAGGATCTATTTTATAGATGGTACAATTGTGCCCTTGAGTTCTAAAGATACTAATAAGAAAGAAGGATACAAATAAGAAATATGATCTTTGTGTTGGGGGTTTGTTATCTGAAGAGGGTTAGAAAGTAAGGAGAGCGGTCAAGGATGTCTCGATGTTTGAAGATACCCTTCAAAGTCATGGGTTCAAGTTCTCGAGTTGAATACTTAATAATTGAAAACTCATGTTGTGTTTCATAGTTGGCCTAGAATGGACGAGCCTCACAAGAGATTAGTGGGATGCGCCATGAGCATAATACAAGAAGTGGGTCCCGACACTCCATTTAAGAAAAAACAAGGTTAGAAAAGTGCTCTAGAAATGGAAAATGCTTGAACCATGTCTAACTGAACCATTGAATCACATTATCTAACTAGAGCTTTGAAAATTAAAGTTCTTTCGAAGTTGTACAACTTGATATCAAGGAGCAGGGCATCAATATAATATGGAAAGTCATTCCACACAATCAAACTGCGGAAGTTATAACAGAAATCATGACAAGCATTCTATCAACTTCAAAGAACCAATTTTCGACAATCCCTTGTCACTAAATGAAGGTTGAAATTACCTGACAGGGCGACATATACAACTATGAAGAATATGGATTGTGCGTGAGAAGAGGGCATTCCAGGATCAGATCTTAATGTGGCAATAGGCCGCTCTTGGTTTAGAATCCTTTTCAGAACCATAGCAAGTACAGCATTTATAACAGATCCCATGGCGGTCCACAAGGCTTCTGCATCATGCCTCAAAAGAAGTATAGCAGTAAAGAGGGCAGCTACAAGCCACTTGCTCTGTAAAGGATCAACAATGCTATTAAGCAATATGGGTAATCACAATCTGACAAATTTAATCTCACATAATCCACTCAGAAGTTGGTGAAGTTTAAAACACTGCAAGAAAGTGTAAATCGATGTTCTTCAAGTATGGCCTTAGCTTCAAAGCAAAATCATGAGGGTTTAGGCGTACAATGTACAATATGATAGCAGAGATATGAAGAAGTGTATTACAGCGTGCAACTAAGTCAGCGTGCAACTAAGTCACCTAAGTCTTTGTTTGTTCGAAGTATAAACATTAGAAACTATTTAAGAAAAAGCCTATAATCGCGTTGGCACACCTAATAGAAGAGCTTAGCGAAAGACTCGTGAAATTTACCAACCATTTTATTGAGAATTGCTTCCAACCCACCAGCTGCAATCTCAGGACGAAACTGGGATGACCCATCAAAAAACGACTCAGTCTCTAAGCTTCTAAAGCCTTCATCTCCATTGCCACACCTAACAGAAGAACTTCTGGTCATCTCAGTCATGCCGCAATGACCCAATACTCTGTGCTTCCGAAATAGAGCTTCCCCAGCGACGAACCTACGAATTAAAACAAGATTCGAGGGAGGGAATCCAAGAGACGATGTGGGTTTCGCAGATTGCAGCTTCAATTTTCTATTGGAGATGGTTTTGAAGGAAGGCTGAAAACTAAGGGCGGTTGATAACAGAGGCATTTGGGTCAAAATCCGAGAGGTTGTCAAGGGCATTCCGAGGGAAGAAGATGAACACTGCTGAAAGAAACCTTCTGGGTTCCATTAACGCGCAGTTTCTCCGTTAAGGCATGAGGGGAAGAAAGCATATTTAATTTGTGCCGCCATAGCCTCATCGTGTGGCTGCTTCTTAATACTTAATAGGACGTCGAAAGAAAAAAAAAAAAAAAAAAAAAAGCGACCCGTTCAATTTCATAGCCGCTCGGCGGCTTCCGTGCCCTCACCAAATTCATGGGAATTGCACAAAATTTTACTAAAACGATGAAAATTAAATGGTGACACCGAAGGACAGTGATGGGCCCTATCAATTTCCCCCAAAAACCAATGCAGACAAGTCCTTGGAATTGAATATATTTGAGAAATTTGTATTTTAGTTCTTCCCTTACCATGAACAAGATCAATGGCATCGTGGTAATGGGACATTTTCTTTGATTTGCTCCCCATTTTTGATTTATACAAAGATGGAAAAATACAACCCATGCCTAATTTGTAACCCATTTTATACCTTTCCCAATATATTCAATTAACCCATTTTATACCCTTTCCCAATATATTCAATTACAAAACTTTACTCTCTCTCTCGGTAAAATATTCCTACTATGAAGAGGCTATGTAACACTTGCAGGCGAGGTCAGGTGAGCAAAGTGGAGGTTGGATGCACGCTTTACTTAGTTGAGCAAGCGAGAGAGCTCATCTTGATGGGGTGTAATTTAAAAAACTTACCTTGAAAATAGTATTAGCCAAAAAAGTGAAAAAATATACATCTCGAGTTAAGTTATCGTGAATAGGTGGATAGGTGAGGTGCCTAACAATAATAAAGACGATAGGTTAGTAATTTGAATATAGTTTATCCTCGCATGAAGATGAAAAATTTTGAAAGTTCAAACTTTCACGTTCACACTATATTTTTAAGTTATTAAAAAAAATAGCGCAAAGGGTAATTTGTAAAGGTTTTGGTCAATGTACTTTCAATTTTGGTTCATTTTGATCTCTATACTTTATTTTTCTTTCATTTTAATCCCTGTAATTAAAACATTTGTTTTGGTCTTTGTATTTTAAAGATCAGACATTTTGATCTCTTTATTCTCATTTTGATGTCATTTATTTCCATCAAAATTTTAGCATGACATCTCACTCACTCAATTTTTGAAATGTAGTCATAAATTTGTATTAAATGGATTTTACCGTTTTATTGTGTATAAAATTTGTGTTAATATTTTAAAAAGAATGATTAAAATTGATCACTTTTTAAAATAGAGGAATCAGAATAAATGTAGAATAAATATTTTTAAAGCACAAATACTAAAATAACTAAAGTTGAAGCTAAAAAAACTACATATATTTTAAAAGTATAAAAATTAAAATAAATAAAAACAAAAGATATAGCGCTAAAATAGTGTATATATATATATATATATATTTTGATAATACCATTTAAATTTTAGTAAAATCTTCTTCTCAATTTTAGTACATAGCAAAAATAAAGAAACAAGGAAAAATAAAACAAATCAGCTCTAACAACCAATCACCCTGCATGACTCTTCCAATTTATGTGGATTGTTTTTCGATTCAGATTCTCAAATATTATCGTCTCCTTATATGAATGCAACATTCTTTTACTTGTCTTCTAGGAATGATTCCTCCGATTACTCTATTTCTACCTTGAATTTTTAAGCGGATGATGTGTGTTTTTTATATGGAATTCCATAAAGGTAACCTATAATCCTATTATCAAGGCATTAAATAAAGTTTCTAAAATTTTTCTGTGCAAGAGGAAATTCTTGTAATTCCTCCAAAATGATGAAAAGTCATACAAATTTCATTATTAAATTGAGAATTTCACATTGCGCCGAACAATTATTTGCAGCCGAATGGGCTTTCTCCGAAAGCAGGCCCATTTGAAACTTGGAAGGCCCAGTTAGCTTTTTAGTGAAAATATCCTATGATTAATGACAATAAAAAAAGGGGAAAAAGAAGAAGAAAGAAGAAAAAAACTTAGAAATGAATTTTTTTTTAATCAAATTTTTCGCATAGCAATCGTTTTCCATATTTTTCAACTACAAAAATTACTCAGAGGGATGAGAGTGACAATAGAGTGATTGATTTTGAAAAAAAAAAAATCGGAGTATAATTGATTTTCTAAAATCACCCTTAGATGATACCTTAAACATTAATCTAAAGTGAATTTAAATTTTCTTAAAATCAATTTTTTAAATCCAAGGAAATGTGAGTGATTTTGTTGATGACAAAAATGATTTTAACAAATTATTCCGTAATATTTAAATAATTTATTAGTAGTTAAAGACATGTATGGCCGACCAAAAAGTCATGCATTCGAACTTTTCCTCCATATGTTGTTGTAAAAAAAAAAAAATTAAAAGAAAATAATTTGTTTCATTAATGAAAAGTCTATATATTAGTCAAATAAATACTTCTTTAAACATAAAAGTTACATAAATATGTATCAATAATTCTTTTTTTTTAGGATATTACAATTTATGTTAGGTGAAGATCTTAACTTCTTTAAAATAATTTTAAAGAAAGTTATATGTGAACTTGACTAATGGCGGCAATATATTAATAATGTGATACAGTAAAATTTATAAGTTTAAATCTCAATATTGAGTTATAAGAAAAAAAAAATCTCGGTATTTGGACTCTCAGGACTTTTATAAAATAATTATTTGGACTCTCAGCATTGTTACTTTTATTTACTTTAAATATATAAATAAGTTGAGTAATTTGAGCATAGCTGAAGACATATATCCCAATCAAAAGTTCGTAAATTTAAACTCACACTTCAACCCCACATATTGTTGTACTAACAAACATATAAAAAATAATTTAAAGTATGTTTTATTAAAGTACTTGATTAATAGGAACCTGTATTAAAGTAAATAGATTGATTGATTGTTCTTTTAGCATGACAATATGTAGGAGTAAGAATTCGAACCTAAGATCTTTCAAATCGGGTGTATATGCTTTAACCAATTGAGTATTCGATAAATGAATATTAGATGACAAAATAATAACCAAAGTTTGAATAGTTATTTTTTAAAACCTCAATACCTATAATAAATTTTTCTTTAAAAATTTAGAATAATAGAATAAATCCGAGATGATTTGAACCTAATTTCTAAGAGAATAATGCTTAGCAGTAAACATCTATCTTCATGTAGTTCTATCATAAAAAATTAGGCAACTTTCTATAGTTATTTATTAAACAAAAAAAAATATTTCTATTCCTCTCTTTCTTTTTTACTCGTCAAAACTTTAACTATGATTGACAAGAAATAGACATTTTTTATGAAGCAAAAATAAAATAACAATTAAACAAAAGGAAAGACAACAAATCCAGAATCCACGCAAGGCCAAGGCCATACTAACAGGAGGACACACTCCCCTCACACTCTTGTCTCGCTAAATCGTGAGCAGCACCATTCGCACTTCTCGAAATGTGATAAAATGCCTCAATTTTAGCATTTTTCGTCTCCTCAATTTATGTAGTCGACAATCAGATTTGTTTATGTAAGATCAAAAATTGCTTTAACACAATTAGATTCCACGATGACTTAAACTCCAGGGTGTTGATGATTTGATTCGGCGCTCTAAGATAGCTTCTTGAGTCGTTGGAGATAGGTCTTGATCGACCAACATCTAAGTATTCCTCTTGTTGTTGTAAAATTATACCTAGTTTCTCTCATGCATATCTAGAAAGTAAAATATATTCCAAAAAGGAAAAAAAGTAAGCAAAATAAAATGATAGTAAATTTAGATGCTCTTCCCTTTTTCACAATTTAAAGAAGCGAAAAAGGAAAGAAAAAGAAACAGAACAGCAAAAGTTTCTCCGGCGAGCTCTCCCAATATTTATTCCCTTCAACTTTCCCTCACCGGAAAATAAAAAAAAAAGTTTCTTTCCGTAATCTTTAGGAAAAGAAAAAGCTCTCTTTTATTTCACATTGAAATCTCATTCTGGAAAGTTCATCAAAAGCAGAGCAACCTTCTCATTTATTCCCAAAACGAACCTTCCCCGGAACTTCCGCCGGCCGTAGATATGACACCCACCAAACAAATTCCCGTTCTACTTCCGATCAGAGCTTTTTCCCCAAAATTTACGAAACAGAGAAAAACAATACCCATCTGAAACATTCTTCTATTAAACTAACCAAATAAAGTTAAAACGGGAAAGAAAACGGAATAAAGGAATCTCTGCGGGTTTTCTTTTTTTTCCAGCTATTTAAGAAACGATTTCTTCGAAGCCCATTGAAACTTTTCTTCTCACGATGAAAACAGAGGAAATTGGAGCAATGGGAGTGTGTGGTAATCTCCGAATTTTGGTGAAAATTTTCCGATTTACAGAGGTTTTTGTGGGGCTGGCATTTTTTTTCTGGATATTTAATCGCCTCCCTTTGGCCGTCAGAGTTTCGAGCGATTACATTTCTCAAATATCCGGCTTCTTTTCCAGCTCTGTTTTTGGCTTCGTACTCTGCAACACTATTGTCGT